AAATAGTTCCTCTGAGTTAAGATTTCTTCAGTTCAAATGCTTTGAATATAAATTAGTAGAAAAAATTGCTGAACATAGATCAAGGAGGAAATGACATAACATTCAGTAGCTTTAGATAAGTTGGTAAAATTTTGAGGATTAGCATTTCATCCACTCATTGAAGTACAAGTCAGCTGGTCACTAAGCAGGTAATTTCTCATACTGAGTTAGACATTTCCTTTTCAGTAGCTCATGCTTCTCTTCTTTTGAGTCCTTCATGAAGCATTATATGCTTACATCAGAAACTCAGTTCTAAAACTTGATTTCTTACTGATTTAATTTTAAACTCTTTGTTCCAAGGGTATTGCTTTACAAATTTTTCCTGGTTGGTTGCCTATAATGTATAAAATAATAAATGCTTCAAAACACCTAAGAGTTCCTGTTCTTCTGCCTGGTATCTTAAAATCTTATACCTGTTATTAGACAGAAGTTTCAGAACCAGGATCACTATCAACTTCTTGTGTATATTTAGCTGTTATATATGGAGAAAGAGATGCAGATGAAGTGTCATACAAATAACTCCTTGTACTGTATTTCATCTTTATCTCATTTTTAAAATAAATATTTTCAATTTCAGACATTTATATGCGTCTCCAAATACAGAAGAAAACTTTTAAGACTAACTGTAATGAAACTTGTGCTGTGAATGTAATTACTCTTTTACATCTTCTATCATTTAGTTTAGATATATTACTTTAAAAAATATAAATAGAAGGAAGTATGTTTTCCAAGAGTAACAACACAGCATGCACGACAAAGAAATCATATTTCTAGGGGTTTTATAGTCCTTGGTGTTAAAAAAATGCCTTCAAAGACTAAACATTGTATCAGTTGTGTTAATTTTCTTGTGTATCTTGCCTTACTGAAAATTAAACACACTGATCTTCTAAAGCATAGATGAAAAATTGCCAGAATAAAGTAGTTTATGAATATGGTTATGTAATTAATCATAGATGATAGAGCATAGTTTTGTTTGTTTGTTGGTTTTGTTTTGGTTTTGTTTTTTTCTAAAAATTACTTTATTAGGTTGAGAGTAAATTGTACACTAGGTTTTGGACAGTTTGAATTAGCACAAACAGGTGCCACTACTAAATACTTTCTTTCTGCACTTGCCTGCTACACAGCAATACATTAAAGGCCAGGCTACTTTATCTGAGCTCTGCAGTCTGAAATGAACCCCTTCATAGTCATTATAAACAGCAGTACTGCTATCTTGATTATACAGATTATATTCTTGAGAAATGATAGCTGATCAAGCTACATTAAAAGGGAACTCTAAGACCATAAATTCCAGCATTCAAAATTCCTTAGGTGGTTTTAGAATTAAAATAGTTAATTTCTATAAATGGGGAAGCCTATCAGAGGAATTACATTGTTCTCATTTTATTTGCTGGGAGTGAGTGTTCTAGTATGTCAAGGTAAGGTTATGCTTGTCTGTCACCACATTACTATCTTCTTAAACAAAATAAAAATCTAAATATTGTTAATCTGCAATGTAGCTTGTTGCCATTTTCTTGTCTTTTCTTGTGGGCTATGATAAAACCCTAAATGCTAAATAATTTTACAGCCTATCTCTTCTGCTGTTGACATTAAGTGAATGAACAGTCAAGATTTCATTTTACTTAGGTTTGTAATCTGAATTTTGTATTAAAATAAAGTTTATTAAATACCTAATTAGTTATTCTTTTCACCAGGATATCTGAGTGGTTTTTTAACAGCATTGAAGTTATCTTCAGAATACTCCCCATTTTACTAGGGGAAATGAGGCCAAGAAATTTCATTCCCAAAAGGCAAAACTACATGGGAAATGCAAATATCCAGATTAAGCCACTGCTCTTTTCAAGTGTTTTGATATCTTTATAATGTTGTACATTTTTTACATATGGTGCATTTCCATTTGGAAGCACTCATTATTCTGCAGTGCTGCAAGATCTGACTCCAGTTATTTCACATTGCCATGCAATAGAAAACATGGGACACTTACATCCTGCTTTTTTCCACTCCTTCATGGCATCGCATTGACCATCAGATCCTTTATTTATTTACCTATGCTTCTATTTTCTGGTTTCCATTGCAACAGCTGTAGCTTTCTGTTTCTGGTTTTCCAGTCTGCATGGGCTTCCTCTCAGCTATTCTGTGTTCAGATGTCAGCATTCACTTTGTTGGCTCTCCCAAAATGCCGTGTGGGCGTTAACTTCCAAGCAGTTGCTCAGTTTTCACGACTGGGTGCCTCATAGCATGGCTTTGCCAACAAGCTGTAATGGTAATTTCTGTAGCACTTTAGAACTTTTAGATTAGGATAGACTTGGTTCTGTGCAGTTGGGAGAGTTTCCAGCTAAGCTGACACATAAGAGTTATAGAGATCTAAAAAAAGAGGAAATATTATGAGAGTAATTTTGCCAGCTTCTGATGAGTATGCGTGAACTGGAATTCTCAAAATTAATGATTTAATGTAGTTTTTCATCCTTATGTAGTTTATTACTGATGAGGGAAATTTTTAAAAGGATACAAGGCAGGTTTTGATACAGAAATAACCTTCCTGTTCAGTTTTCGTGTTCCTAGAAGCAGTTTTACAAATCTATGTGGTTATTTGAAACATCACTTACAAAATACTAAATGCATACATAGCCTTATTATTGTAGTTTTAAATTTACTTTTTTTGAACCTTAACAGAAAAATTCAACTTGAAGAAAACTATCTAACAGTTTAAGAATTTATTTTGTGATTTATTTACTGCAGTTAAAAGAAGCAGGAAAAAGTATTGTAATGGGAAGATGAATTCTGAGCACTGCTAACTCCTGCTGTTATTTATGGTAATTGCTATTTGGAGTTTCACCTCTACAAAGAAAGATTATTTTTTTCGTTAACAAAATGTGGGAGAAGTCCAGATGAGAAAGCAGGCATTAGATGGCACAATATGAAAAAAAGAGGAAAAAGGATCAGGTAAAACACCACATGGAAGAAAAAGCTTTCCATAACATAATTATGGTTTATCCTTGTTCTGCATGGTAAATTTATAAAAGAGGTCCATAAGATAGTTGGGAATTTTGTGGACTGATCAAGTTAAACTTAATAATATTAGTACAAATATGGAAGAAGTAAGAAATTCCAATATTGGGTGTGTTACTAAGGAAAATACCATTTCTATTAATGATTGAAACAGAAATTGGCAGTGGTAGCTCAGAACATAATGCCTTTTATACTTGTGGAAAACATGACACCTCAATTCAGTGTTGGATAACAATGTGCCAAATATAAAAAGGGATTTTCATTTGGCATTTTAAGTACTCATTCCTGCTTCTAATAATGGTATGAGGAAAGCAGTTCCTATTCTGGCTGGATGAGAAAATGTCTATAAATGAAAATTAGTAAAAAATTGCAATTTTTTTTACCAGCTAGTATAGTTTTCAGTGTAAACTCCTTTTTAATGGCCTTTTCTAGTTGTGGTTGACTTTTAAGTGGATTAAGTATTTTCAAAGAAAAATATGTAATGCCTGTTTATTTCAAGACAAGCACAATTCACTTCCTGTCTGTTAAAAATCTTGGTATTTATTTCCAAGAATATTTCTATTTATTATCTTGTCTTCATTTATGTAGGTTTGTTTGAATTTAGCTTCCAGAAAACATTATAGCTTCTTACTCTATAAATTAGTCTGAGAGTTAGATGATGAGGTGCCTTACTATTTCCCCTTCCCTCTCAGAAATATGGTTTTATATTATAATGTTTAATATCTGCTATTCTGTTCATTGAAGTCAGGGTGATCTATGAATCCAGTGACATTTAGATCATGCTCTTTTATCCTGATGGGCAGCTGCCAACATTCTAAAACGTTTTTTTCTAATCACCAAACGAGAGAATCCTGGGTAGAAAAGTTTGGGATTACTTTGGTTAGAGTATTTTAAGTTATAATTCAAGACACTTTTTTAATTTAAAAGGAAGTATAAAAGTTTAGAGCAGGATCCTTTCTTGTGCTGCCATGATTCTTTACTTTAGGATTGTAGTTCACTTAGAAATCTGGTTCTGTCATGCAGCTCCTCAGTTTGTATCATGTTGCAACTCAACAATTTACTGAGCAATTACTCACACTAATGGAACAACTTGTAAGTGACTGCTGATGACTGTGAGTAATAGTTTTATGGTATATAAGCAAGTTAATTCTTAAAAAGTCAGAGGAATTTAGAGTCCCCTCTCTAAAGCTGGCCAACAAATAAACCCTGTCATGTCATAGGTTTAAAATAATATGATGTAGCACAATGAAATACATATAATAACTATTAGAAATTTTCCATGTTGTATATTTACCATTGTATTTTAATTAGTTTAATTTTGGCTGCTCCAGGTTTTATGCATAAAAACGTCTAGATGTTTGATTCATATCACCTGCTCTGAAAACTGTTTTTTGTATAGTGCTGAAGTCTTTGCATATTAAATAAGTTCATTCAGCCTGAGTAAAATAATGAGAGACTGTCAAAGCTGGTATATATTGAATCTCTGTTTATATATTAATGTGTACTTCAACTATTTACTGATATGATTCCAGGTTTTTTAAGGAAAGAATATTAGTCTGACATAAAATGAAATATCAGAAAAGAGCAATTGTACTTAAGCAGCAGGAGAACATATTTTAGCAAAAGCATTATCTGTGTTACGTGGTTTAGTATATGAATTTCAGGGGTTTATAATAATACTTTTGCAAATGTATTTTAAACATGTAAATAAATAGTTAGAAATGCAGAATTTGGAATGCAACAGACCTTTTAAGTGGAACAAGTACAATCCAGGATCTTGGAAACTGCTGTCCCACATGAATATCACCGGGCTAGCAAGAGCGGTAGTGAACTCAGTACTATGTACAGTATAAATAATGGTCATATTTTGAGCAGCAGGCATCATGACCAGCTGATATTTTCTTTCCTCGGGACCAGTTGTTCCCAAGAGTGCATGGCAGGAGCCATATGATCTTATCAACACATTTGAGAGCCTGACCCAAACACTGACAGAGATTTTGCTGCAGCAATGACTGTCATAGAAGAAAGTCGCCCTTTTGCACAGCAGTTATCCAATGTCTACTTTACTATACTTTCACTTTTTTGTTTTAAACTTTTTGTGAAGATCAGCCTGGCTATACTTAGTCATTTCTACATTGTGAAAGGAAACCGTAAGGAAGCAGCAAGGATAGCTGCTGAATTTTATGGAGTTCCTCAAGGACAAGGTATATTTGTACATACTCTGTTTTCACTACTGTTTGGGGATTTTGTTGTTCAGGTAATTACTTATCTGCTAGCCTCTTTTACATTCAGTTTTTCAAATTATATGTGAGGTTTTTTTTCTGTAGTTGTTGTGTTTTGTATAACAAAAATTATCTGTAGTATAATTATCTGTAATAATATAATAATAATTATTATATTACTATTATAATATTGCAGTAATAATATCTGTAGTGTAATTATCTGTAGGAGTGTTGTTAGATTTTGTGAACTTTTTAGTTTTTTGGGTTTTTTTTAGATTAATATTAAGTTCAAAAAATTCAGAAAAATGGAAATATCACAGCCAGTTTTCTATTAGGATAGAGGCCTATATTTAAGATGGCTGTATATAAATAAGATGGCCAAATACTTCCCCATACAGGACTTTTTTCCCAATTGCTCCTGCTATTCCCCAGCTTACCATGCATAGTTGAAATTTTCCATGTTTGACATGTGATTATTTTGCACCACTCTAGTGAAACTAGTCCAAACATTTGTGAAAATTATGTCTTGATTAAGGTAAAACTTTATTATAGTGATTTCTTCTGAGAAGATATAGTCCTCATGTAGTTTGAATAAACTGTGTCTTGGCAGATATCAGGAGCCTAAGTAACACTTTGTCAGGGCCAGCTTTTTGGCTTGTGTGTGAAAACCCTTCAAATTTTACTGGATTGAAAGTTCTTGTGAAAATTCCTTTTGCTGTTCACAAGCAGAACTTTAGCAGAACTGTTGCCCCAAGCTCATCTGTAGTGATGTACCATTTTCATTCAATTGTTCTTTTGCATTACAGAACACTTTCTTCTAAACTGTGGCTTGCTGGTACATGACTGAGCCCTGATTTTGCTCAGCTTGGGATCCTTGCTACCTCACTTGTCTTCATTGTTGTCCCTTGTATTCTGGGATGGCATCAAGCTGAGTTAGGCAGTGGAACAGGAAGAGTTGTCTTGCCTCTTACTGCCTTTACTCCTCATCCCTAGGTACCACAAATGTGAAGACATAGCCCAAGTTAAATGTAATGGGAGAGACCATAGAAATGAGCCAGAAATGGCTTCAAAATTGAAGATTTTTTCAATCTTCAATGTTGGGACTAAAGTTAGATATTTTGTGTGAGGGTGTTAAAATTTGCAATCCAGAAAGAAAGGCTTAAATCCTAAAGTAGGAATTAGCTTACTTTGCAGATTTACTTGAGATGGATTTATACCATGTGTTTTCTGCACAAGCTCTGAAACTCAGTGTTTTTTACATCTGAGCCTGTTAATGACACCATTTGAACTATTATGTACGTGTGTGTGTGAGTATATGTGCAGATATATAAGTGTGGGAGGGGGTGGGTGTGTATGTATATTATTCACTACAGTAGGATAGGAAGAGCACAGACAGGAATACTTGCAGATAATGGGGAAGGCCTTACTTGAAATCAAGATTTTTTTTTTTTTGCCAGAAACTGCTGGATAGCTCTAAGGCAGCTCTTTATGGGAAGACTGACACACAAGCTGGGGACAGAAGGAAAGAGACTTGGGAGGAACTGGAGAGAAAGGAATAACATGCATTGGGCTGGAGAGTAAAATAGTGTCTATGGTGTTACCTGTTGCAGAACCCAGGAATCTGTAATTCAGTCGTGTGTCAAAAGTCTCATCTATTATACATTATTAAGCATTCTAGTGGCTGGCCAATGCAAAAGATGAAAATCTATCACCCTTGCAGGTTACTGTTTTGGTCATGTAGCAGAGTTTTTTATTGATTTAAAGGATCAAACATATGGTAGATTTTATAGTTTTCTGCTTGTTTTATTAAAAGAAAATAGTTAATTCAACTGTTTTATGCTAAAATTGTACTTTTTATGTTTCAACATCAGTGTGCCTTCATTTTTCACTGTCCAGCTTTCAGTGGTTGGTTCTGGATTTATAAGTTGTAAGCACATATTCATACATAATCTGCTATTCATCCATTTGTTGTGACTAACAGCAGCAATCATTACTCTTTGGGATGGAAATAATTCTCCTCAAAATTGTTATCTTTTCTTAGTTTACTTCTGTGCCTGTGGAAGGAGACATGCTAGTGTCTGAACTCTATGGCATGTTGTGGGATTTGATTTGTTGGTGTTGGTGAAACACAGGGATGCCTCAGTAGAGTTTATATAATTCATGTAGCAAAATATCCTGTTAAAAGTGACATCTAAAAGATGTACAGTAAGGAATATGAAGCATGAAACAGCTTAAAACATTACATTGTAAAATTAAATACTGAGTGTCCTCCTAATTAGTGATCCATTCTGTGTTTTTTCTCAAGTAGCAGAAAAACCTTGGCAGAAAAAAACAATGCAAAGAACTACCAAAATAGATAATTAGCCTAGCGTCTGTCATTAGCTAATTGAAGTTTATAGTATTTCAATAAGTAATTCAAATTAGAGAAAATGTTTCTTTTCATTTTCTAGTTTTAACCTGATTACATACTCTCAAAATTCTGTTAGCACTGGTATTTTAGGTTTGCTTTTAATAAAAAAAAAAATTACTTATTGCTATTGTAATGTCTTAGCTAGGATAGAATGCTATAATTTTGAAGAAAAAAACCAAACCTTTGGAAATAATGTGCTACTAGGCACTGGCATTATTTCATACTTTCTAAATTGACCCCTTAAAATAAGTTAAAATAAGTTTAATTGAATTAAAATAAGTCTTTTAGGAAGTCTGTTTAATTGAGGATGTTTCAGGTACAGAGCAGTAGTTTTTGGTGGACCTCCTTTCATCAAACTGAAGGTGTAGAGGTCAGTTTTTACGTTTCAAGGCTGACTTGCTTAGGTTTGTTACTTTTTCTTTATTAAGAATATTAAGAATAAAATTTTCTTTATTAAGTATAAGGAGACAGCTTTGCCTGTGTCATCTGCTTTATATGGTCTTGTTGCTAAGTGTTAGTAGTGAAATGGGTCATACTTTGTTCCTTAATATTTCAGGAATATTTTCATTTTCAGTAGTCAGCAATCTACACTCCATCTATCCTTTGGATCTCACATGTATATGAATGGAAGGATAATGTCACAATAACTAATTAGAAATTATACTGTTTATGTGGCATCAAAATACAGGAACTAGATCAGTGTTCAGCATCAGCTAAGCCCAAAATAGTGCATGTAAAAGCTCTACTAATTATAAGGCACATTAATTTGTTTAAGGAAATAATGTCTGAGTAAAACCTTTGTGTGTAGCTGAAAGGTACCTTCAGAGGTGAATTGAATGCTCTAGGATCAAATATACATGAGTTGTCTGGCAAATGTTTGGCTAACCTGTTTTTAAAATGCTTAGTAATAGTAATTTCTGCGGCATCCTTATGCAACCAATTGCAGTTTTTACTGTTCTCATCACTAGACTGCTTCCCACTTCCCCCAAGACTGACCTAAATCTTTATTTCTGCAAACTAAATACATGAAATATGACTGTTTCTCTCTGTGTATGAGAAGTAATCAATTTAAGGACTATTATCATGCATTTTCCTACTTCTGCTGTTTTCTTTCTTTTTTAGAATAATGTAAAAAAGATTTAACTTCATCTATCCTCCTAAGTCTTATTTTCTAGCACCTGGAGTTACTGCAGTTGCTCTCTCTTGGACTTGTGCCAGTTCATAAATAGTTTACAGACATCTTTACTGATGTCTAATTTCCCATGTTAAACAGAGTGCTCCAGCTGAGACTTTATGAGTGTAGCCGGGGGAACTATTAGTTGTATACAAGTGGAACACTTATGTCATGTGCCATGTATATGGCACCCTATGTAATACCTCCTGGAATGATGCTGCCCCTCAGCAGTAAAGTATTTTGGATAGAGTCTGTAGCCTGTAAACCACATGTTAAAACAAAGTCACTGTATTGTTCATTTGCTTTTTCCTCTCTTAATACTGTGTACTGGCCTTCAGCTAATTTCATGCTGTCTTGGAATCAGACAATTTCTCCCTTTTACTTGTCTGTTTTGAATTGTTTCCCTCTGAGCAGTTGTAGCATCTACAGTTTAGTATCATCTACTACTTGCATAAAAAGAAATACATTATTCTATCATTCACAGTATTAGAAGCTTGGATAGCACCAAATGCAGGACAGAACTCTGCAGTCTTTTACATTTGCTTGAAGTGAAGACCTGTGTCCTAATAAGTTATTGGAGTTTAATACTTTTTTTTTCAGTGAAGTCAGTGTTATTAGTACCATAAAAAAATGAAATGAAAAAAGGATCCGTTCTATTATAAAGGTGTCATTTGTTGGGTTATTTTTAACTTTGGCACTAATTCTGTAAACACTTATATACACTTCCCCCATTGATTTGAAAGGACTGATTAGTTGTTTGGAGCCAAGTGCTTTGCAATCAGGGACTAGAGTTGTGTTGAAAATAGGTTGTGGTGACTAGTGTTTATTTATTGTGTTGAAGTGAACATTTACATATTCATTGCATTTAAAACTTTGCAAAAGTCAACATTTTATTCTTTCTTAGTGGATAGTCGTAGTGAGTATATGTTTGTTCCATTTTAAAATTCTGTGCCCTACAAACTGATGCAGAAGAATAACCTAGCTTGAAAATTAACTTTGGGTATATTTAGCTCCTTAGCAAACTATGTGTAATGACAGTGATCTGCACAGTAACATTTCTTCTCTCATGGTATTTCCGGATCCGTGAAGAGTTTATAACTCAGCCTTTTGTACAGCTGTTGCTGGATGAATGCTGGAGGGTCAAAAGCAGCTTTTAGACTCTTCCTACTGTACTGGCTAACTGGTCATATCATGAAAGTCCTCTGTGTATAGGAGCACTGGGTTGGAGCTTCAGATGAGTTTTATAGTTTCATTGCTTTGGGATGAGGTAGTAGTGCTGTGATATGAGGTGATTTCAAAGTTTGTGTGTCAAATCTAAAGAATTAATCAATTATCAGATATTTTGGATCTATAAGATATAAAGTCTGCCAACAAATACTGGTAAGATCTTGGTTTGTA